GGAAAAGACCTGAGAAGACCTTAATTTTATACCTTATTATGATCCTTGACATAATAAGGCATAAAATCATTTTTTATACAAAATCTAAATAACAAAATAGCAAATCCTGGGGTAAAGAGAAAATCTGATTACCAAAGTTATCACATTATTAGATTCAAATGTCCTGTTTTCAACAACAACAACAAAATCATCTAAACACGTAAGACAATAATGCAGGAAATCAGAGATAAAAACTATAAGGCTGGCTGTAGCTATAGCTCTGTAATAGAGCATCTGCTTAGCATATACAGGACAGACTCATTCTCTGGACTTCAAAAAAAAGGCAGCTGTAAGGCATATAGAAAACAAAGCAAAATAACATATGATCCTTCTTATCAGAAATTACTTTAAATGTAAATGGATTAAACTTCCAATCTTCCAATCAAATGATACACTTAAAAACACATCACCCAACCAAATGCTGTCTCCAAGAGACTCACTCGCTATAGATCCAAAGACACAAATAGGCTGAAAATTATTACAAATAAAAAATAGTAACCCAAAGAAAGCAGGTATGGTTATTCTCATATCAGACAAAACAGAGTATATTTTAAAAGGCTATAAAGGATAAAAAAGGATTTTATGTTAATAAAAAATTCAATGCAGCAAAAGATAAAATAACAAACATTTATTTACCTATTAATCAAAATATATCAATCAGAAACTCACAGAATTCAAGAACAAATAGTTCTGCAATACTAGTTGGATATGTCAATATCCTGCTCTGAATTATTTCTAGAATAACCAGATAAAAAATAAGAAAGATGCAGAACACTCAACACATTAAACCAATTAGATCTAACAGACATATACAGTTATTCTGTCCAATAACAACAAAACATTTTATTCTTTTTAGGTGCATGAGACATCTTTCACTAAGTCTGGATAGGTTTAAAAAGGCAGGAATAATTCTAAGCTTCATCTCTTACAAAATAGGATTAAGCTATAATAAAAGTAGTAAAAGTAAAACTGAAAATTCATAAATTTGTGGAAATTAAAAATTCAAACCACCATTGGATCAAAGAAGACAGCAGAAGAGAAATTAGCAAACACTGGAGAAAAATGGAAATGAAAACTGTACAATACCAATACACAGAATATAGTGAAAGGAGTACTATGAGTGAAAGTTATAAATATGTACACTAAAAAGTAAGAAAGATCTCAAATCAATAGCCCAACTTAACATAGAGAAAAGAACAATAATCTAAACCCAAAGCCTGCAAAAGGAAGAAATTAATAAGGATTACAGCAGAGATAATCAAAATAGAGATCAATTATACCAAGTGTTGGTTATTTTAAAAAATCAGTAAGATCAACAAACCATTAGCTAAGAATAAAAAGGAGAAGATAAAATCATGAAAATGGGGACATTATTGCTACTAATCCTACAGAAATGAAACGATTATGGGAGTACTACAAACAACTGAATGCTAACAGATTGGTTAACTTACATGAAAAGGACAAATTGCTAGAAACAAAGCCAAATCAAAATTAAACCAAGAAACAGAAAATATGGACATATCTGGGAGTGATAAAGAGATTGAAGCATAAATAAAAAATCTGACAAAGAAAAGGCCTGTAACTAATGGCTCTGCTGGTGAATTAAACCAAACATTTGAAGAAAAAAATAATGCAATCCTCCTCAAACCATACCCCAAATTGAAGAGGAGAACTTCCCAACTCATCCTCTAAAGCCAACATTATCCTAATACCAAGCTAGACAAAAACAAAACTACAGACCAATATTTCTTATCAACATTGATACAAAAATGTTCAATAAAATAATAGTAAAATGAATTCTGCAGCACAGTAAAAGGAGTATGCACCATGTCCAAGTGGGATTTATTCATGGAATGCAAAAATAGTTGATCACAATTGATCAGTATAATACACCACATAAACAGAAGGAAGGGTAGAAAACTACATAATTGTCTCAATCGAAGTAGAAGAAATATTAGACAAAATTTAACACTTTTTCATCACAAAATCTATTAACAAATTAGGATTGAAAGAAACTACTTCCACATAATGTGAAAAGCTGTACATGAAAATCCCACAGTATCATATTGAATGGTAAAAAACTTAAAGCTTTTCCCCTAAGATCAGAGACAAGGCAAGCATGCACACTTTTGACACTTTTATTCAACATAATACTGAAAAGTTCTAGTCAGAAAAATTGGGCTAGAAAAATAAAAGATATCCAAGTTGTAAAGGAAAAACTAAAACTCTGTTTGCAGATATAATCTTATACATAAAAACACAATTCCACGTCAGCTTTGTCAGGTCATATGTCTTAAACCTCTTTATAACTGATAGACATTAATGCAAAAAGCACTATTTTCAGGTTAACTGATATTTCTTTTTTGTGACCTCTTTGATATTATTTTTAATCCTCAATAAAGAGATATCATAAGTATAGAAAATTATTTTCAAGTAGAGATATTCCTGTTTATGTTACAAACATATTATTTTCAAAAGAGATAAGAATTCCTAGACTAGGGCTGGGGTTGTGGCTCAGATATGTAGAGCACTCAGCTAGCATGCATGAGGCACTGGGTTTGATCCTCAGCACCACATAAAAATAAAATAAAGATATTGTGTCCACCTATAACTAAAAAATAATCATAAAAGAATTCCTGCAATGTAAGCTACAGGCCTCTGGATAAATGACATTTGTTTTTTCATTTGTGTCTATTTTTATTTTTAGTACATATTAATTATACAGAATAATGGGTTTTATTGTGACACATTCATACATGCACAAAACATATTTCGATTATTTCCACACCCATGAAATTTAAATAGTGAGACTCAATCTATAAAAAACATAATAAATGCTTTTAGACAATGTGAACCTGAAGCCTCAAATGTATACAATAAGTACATAAACCTAGAACTCTGAAGCCTCAATGCTCTATATTTTTAGCATCCTTAGAGAAGACCTTGGACAATGAACAAAGTTTTATATGGAGAATAAGGATGTAGCACTCTGAATAATAACTATTCATTTCTGCAAATCAAAAGGAAAGTAAAACCATTCTTTCCTTATTTTAATATTTTATCTTTTTACATGTAAAAATCCTTATGGGTTAGAGTTAGGTTAGCCTATCAGCACAGTTTATTTGGATTAAGAAGATATGAACTAACATGGAGACTTTATATTGATACTGGGGAACTAAACAAACTAAATGCTAAAAGAGGGAAAAGAGGGATGACTTAAAAAAAAGTTTGGTGACTTTGATGGTTATGTTTATTAACTAATAATAAAATCAGAATTACAGAACAATATAGTACCTTCACAGAGAAATTATGCCAGGCACCAAACATTTAAATACGTCTTAGTTTTTATCTTAGAAAAAAAAAAACTGGGCCTGTGACATAAAAAAATATATATATATAGAAAATTTACCTTTATTGGGATGAGTAATAAGAAGAGGTGAGAAGGCATAAATAAGGAGGGAAAATAAATGAAGTCAGAAACAATAAAAAGTGTTATAAGTAAATTTCTAATATTGTGATATCTACCTATATAGATTTTTTTCTTTAGAGAGAGAGAGAGAGAGAGAGAGAGAGAGAGAGAGAGAATTTTTTTTTAATATTTATTTTTTAGTTTTTGGCGGACACAACATCTTTGTTTGTATGTGGTGCTGAGGATCGAACCCGGGCCGCACGCAGGCGAGTGCGCTACTGCTTGAGCCACATCCCCAGCCCCAACCTATATAGATTTTAATAAAAATAATAAATCTTCCCTCAATATACTAATATGCCTGCTCATTAGACCTAACAAAATACAGATGACAAATATAAGAATGTCCATACTTTTGAAATTGGAAAAATTCTTTTCATGAGCAGTGAAAATACAGTGTAACTTAATGATATGAATTTAGAATTTAATTATCAAACTCAATACAAGACAAGTGAGCTAATATGATGAACCCATAGAAATATAAAAAACAAAAGCGAGCCAGGCATGGCAGTGCACTCACACCTGTAATCCCAGAGGCTCAAGACCAGCCTTAGCAGTTTAACAAGGCCCTAAGCAACTTAATGAGAACCTATCTCAAAATAAAAAACTTTAAAAAATGACTGAGGATGTAGCTCAGTGGTAAAGTGCTCCTGGGTTAAATCTCCAGTACCATAACAAATAAACAAAGAAAACAAAAAGAGCATAAAAAAGCTTAATAAACTACAAAATGTCTTCATAGTATAAAAGATTCCAGTAAAAGAGCCTTCCAGAATTTTTTCTTGTTTTCAAGAAGGTTTTGCTCTATTGTTTCTTTGATAACAATAGAATATGCTGGGAAATCAGGGAAGGATTTGTTCATCTGACCTAACTGTGGCATAAGATCTTACAAAACAAGAATCTGTTACAGAGCACAAGGATCTGTAAGAAATCCTGGTCAATTTTATGGTTCTGTATTAATAAATGAAAGAACTAGAGTATATGTGAATTTATAACTTCTTAGATTCACTTTGTACTATGGTTACTTTAAAAATACTGGTGAGAACATTTATAATTTGTTACTTTTCACTAAAATCTAAGGGACATACTGTGCACCTTCAAGATCTATGGGACACTTTTTTGCCCTGTGTCCTATCTTCTGTAGCAGTATACCACTTCTTCAGAGAATGGATTAGAAAGACATTTAAGCTTATTATATAGAAAGGTGTCATACCCTCACATCGAGGTACATAAGGAGAAAAATTCAAGAATTATAAATTCTTAGAAAACATAAAAGATCCTTTGGGCACTGGCAAGGAAAATGTCAACAAGTCAAAAGATACTAGATAGCTATTGACCAGTTTCACGAAGGCAAAGCTGCAAGCCAAGATGGAATAATGCTTTCCCACCATGTGTCTAAGGCTGCAAATGACACTAATCCTTTTTAATGGTCATAAAAGCTGACAACTTACTCAGCCTTAGAACTGAAGGCACAAAATCATCTCAGGGAATGACTCACCATAAACAGGTCGCGAGCACCAATGTCAACAGCTAGGAGAAATGCCTTTTCAAATCTCTGGTACCTACGAGGAAGAAAAGAAAGGTATCTTAGTTGTGAAAAAATCATATAAAAGAAGAGAGCTGTTTGTTTAATGTATTTATTCAGTATTGTTTCGATTCTTTCTGGTGGAAAAAATATTTTCAAAGAGAAGGGATTTGGCCTGCTAGGATCTTCCATTTATGAAATGTTATTGTACTTAGGAGGAGCTGAGACAGAGTCTGTGGAGGCCATAGATGTAATTTCCAAGAAACACAAATTCAAGTACACATTGCTAAATATGGGAAATGACAGCTTGGAAAATACATTTTAATAATTTTTAAAAACTATTTTATTTTTTAGTTGTAGTTGGACGCAATACCTTTATTTTATTTATTTTTATGTGGTGCTGAGGATCGAACCCAGGGTCTTGCACATGCTAGATGAGCGCTCTACTGCTGAGCCACAACCCCAGACCCATTTTCATAATTTTTACTTCAGTGTATGTGGGCATGTGGGTGTGTGTTTTGTCACCAGGGATTGAACTCAGGGTACTTTACCACTGAGCCACATCTCTCAGCCCTTTTTTTATATTTTATTTAGAGACAGGGTCCCACTGAGTTGCTTAGGACCTCCCTAAGTTGTTGAGGCTGGCTTTGAACTAGTGATCCTCCTGCCTCAGCCTCTCAAACTATGGGGATCATAGGCATGCATGCACCACTACACCTGGCTTACTTCACTGTGCTTTATAAGAGAAAATTATGGGGATATAGAGAACAAAGAAAGATAAGAGCAATTAGTCATATCATATTTTTGTGCTTTTTAGGTAAAAGTTGGGATATTAAATGTTGTTTTAGTCAAAAGCTTTATATTTGAAAAGAAATTCTAGGCTGTTATAAAATAGAACATAAATATCTTCTGAATTTTTAAAACATATATTACTTTTCTATACTTTTCCATAATCATACCTTCCCTGAAGTAAAATTTTGATAATTTTCTTTGTGAAAGTCTAATTCTAGGCAGATAAACATGAGAACAACTCACAGTTTAATTATCTCCACAGAAAGTTTAAGATCTATAACAAAAATTATCTCATAAATGCATATATTGCATAGGTTTTCGGAATGAAAGGTGGTCTCTATTTTGTCCAAGTCCTAAGATTTATATATATGTAACTGTCAGTTTCTTTAACTATAGGAACAGAAGATACATAAGTTATTCTCTGTTCTCTATTATATATTGTAAAATACAGTAGTAGGAAAGATAATGAGATTTCAAATAAAAATAACAAGTGTTGAATATTCATTATTATTATTAAACATATTTGTTGAATAAAATTCAATACTTATTAATATTATATATGAGCCATTAAGTCCAAAACCTGAAACAAGAGTACAATTTCCAGGTTATATTTGATGACTCTTGCCCCATCTCCTCGCTCATTCTTCCCAATACCTCCAGTATTTGCTTGAATGCTTCTCAACTGTTCAAGATCATGAGGAAATTTTATTTTTGTGGATGAATAGTGTTTTACAGCAGGAAGCTTACTGATTTATTATGTACTCAGGGGAGGTAAAATTTAGCAAGAAGAGGTCAAAGAATTAGCCAGCTGTGCTACTTGTTCATGCCTTCACTGCCATTTTGCATTGACCTCTACTGTAACTATTCTGGCAACAGTAATCATCCATCTTCAAATGATCAAACCTAAACATAAGTTCTGATCTTATGTGCCCTTTGGCCATATCTAATCCTATAAACTGCCCCTGTACTTCCTTGGCTTTTTCATTTCTTGGATGGAAATTTCTGTCTTCTTTTCTAGTTCACATTTCTCTACCTCCCACTGAAGTTGGTGTTCTACAGTCGTCTGTATTTCTACACACTACAACCTCAATAGCCTTATTATTACCACTATGACTATGAAAACCAATTATATCAATGACTCAGAACTCTTATCTCTAGGATCCATCTCTTTCTTGAGCTCCACACCCTTTATTTTCATGCACCCTCTTTATTTTTGTGATATAACATTTATATAAAATTTATGCTCTTAGCAAATCTTTATATATAATACAGTATTTTAAACAATAGAAACAATGCTGTATATCAGGTCTCTAAGACTTATTCATCCTGCACATAGTAAATTTTATACTTTTTGATGCATTCCCTGCTCTTCACCCCTAGGCCCAGCAGCAATCATTCTACTCCATGCTTCTATGAGTTTGACTATAGATTACTTATGTAAGTAGAATGATATGTAGTATTAGTCCTATTGTATGGCTTACTTTACTTAGCATAACACCCTCTAGATTCATCCATATTGTCAAAAGAAGGATCTCGATATATCTTTCTCTTTCTCTCCCCCAAACCTCGCCCCCCCAAAGACAAATGACATTCCATTGTCAGTAAATACCACACTTTCGTTGGCAAGTAAATCAGTTTTATTGATTATACTGCAATGTAATGAATGATGAAGATCACATTAGAACTTCAGAAGTATTTGATTTTTATCTTATTTAATTCTCTTAAGAAATAGAAATTGACTAATCTTCATGGAACTTCCTAATTCGCTTTGTAAATGAGCCTGGTACTGTGAATTTTAGAGATATTCATATGTTGTTTCTGTTGCAGTGTTTCTCAAAATTTTTGTTTCATTGTTTCCTTCTTTCCCCAAGGACCTTTCTCTTTAAAAAATAATTTTTTAAAAATATGAACTCTCCAACTTTTCAAATGTTGGCTAATAAAACAGTTTTGGTACCCTTTGACCAACATCTTTTTCCCCTACTTTTCGGCCCCTGGTGACAATCATTCTACTCTTTATCGATTTTTTTTTTTTATTTCACAGGTAGGTGAGATCATACTCTTTCTGTGTATCACTTATTTCACTTAGCATAATGCTCTACAAGTTCATCCATGTTGCAAATGGCAAGCTTGCTTTCTTATTAAAGGCTGAATGATACTACATTCCATATATATATATATATACATATATATATATATATATATATATATATATATATATATACACACATATATATATATATATATATATATACATATATACACACACACACACACACACACATATATATACACAGAGACATATATAAAACATATATACACACACACATATATAAAACATATACATATACATATTTTTAAAATTTTCCTTATTCATTCATTATCAATTAGATTGTTTTCCCATTCTGGCTATAATAATGTCTTTTCAAGATAGTGATTTCCTTTGGACTTATATCCAGAAGTACAATACTGGAATATAAGGTAGTTTTATTTCTAATTTTTCAAAGAACTATCATATATTTTTCTATAGTGGCTATAACAATTTACTTCCCATCTGAAATGTACTTTTACCTAAATTCTTGCCAACTCCTGTTATTGTTTGAGTTTTTGATAAGAGACCTCCTAATAGGCTTGAGGTGATATCTCACTGTGGTTTTAATTTGCCTTTCCCTAATGATTAGTGATATTAAGCACCCTTTCAAATACCTGTTGGCTATTTGTATATCTTCTTTGGAAGAATGTCTATTCAAGTCATTTGTCCATTATTTTTTTCTTGGTGGGGCTATTGGGTTATAATGAGTTCTATTTATATTTTGGATATTAACCCCTTATAAAATATATTGGTTTGCAAATATTTTCTCCATTTAATAAGCTGCCTTCTCCTTTTGTTGGCTATTTACATTGCAGTACAAAAACTTTTTGGTCTGATGTAGTCCCATTTAATTTTTTTTTACTTTTGTTTCCTGTTCTTTGATGTCAAATCTATTGCCAAAACCAATGTCAAGGAGATTTACCTATTGGCTGTATTCTAGAGTTTGACAGTATCAGGTTTTATATCTAAGTCTTTAACCCAGTTTGAATTGACTTTTTTGTACAGTATAAGAATCCAACTTCATTCTCTTGCATGGGGACATCCAGTTTCCCCAATATTTACTATAGAGACTATCCTTTCCCAATTATGTATTCTGGGCATTTTTTTTGAAAATTAGTTGATTGTGTATGTATGTGTGGATTTACTTCTGGGCTTTCAATTCTGACCTATAGGTTCATGTGTCTGTTTTTATACCAGAATCATTCTATTTTTATTATTTTGCCTTTGTAATATAATTTGAAACCAACAAGTAAGATGCCTCTAGCTTGTTTTCTTTTTCAAGGTGGCTTTAGCCATTTGGAATCTTTCTGGTTTCACAAGAAATTTTAGGATTATTTTGTTGTTGTTGTTGCTGTGAAAAATGCTATTAGGATTTTAACAGGGATTACATTGAATGTCTATATCTGTTGTTAACCTAACCTTGCACATAGCTAGACAAGTACTTTACCTCTGAACTATACCCCTAGGCTCTTTCAAAATGATGAAATGTTTTTGCCTTGAAGCTTAGAGGATACTTTATCTTGAAAGTCTATTTTACTAGGATATTTTCTGGAACTGTGGGCTCTTTGAATATGTAAATTTAAGTCATTTATTCCAGGAAAGATATATTGAATGTTTTTACCACCTACAGAGGTACAATTTATTTACAATAAGATTCACTCATTTTAAGTAACTAGTCCAAGGAGTTTAAACAAATGTTTATTGGAACATTACCCTAACCATAATAAAGATACATAAGTATTTTCCATCACCTCCCAAAGCTTCTTTGTGCCTTTTATATGCAGCTGACAGCTGGACAATGGTGATCATAAGAATGCACTTCTCAGATTACTGACTTCAGGGAACAAAGCAGGCCAATGGCCCTCACTTTTGTGATCTGAAATTCACTTCTACATCTGCATTGAGGATATATTTCCCACATAGGCTGCTTCCAGCCAGTGAATGGAGGAGTAAAAATTCTAAGGCAGTTCCATTCCTGTAAAACACAGAACTGTCTCATCATTGTTCTCAGTCTAGCCTTGTGGATAGTTTATTATTCACCTAAAGATTTAAGGTGATACATATAGATTTCTGGAGTTGTTTCTCTGCATAATACCTCCAGTACACAAACCCACAAATTTCAGCTGCCTCAGCTTCCCCGAACTCTGACTAACTTA